TTGTGAATTGGTCTAGTCTTATGGGCGAGAAAGCTATTTGCTCATATCTTTGTATGTCTTTTGAATAACAGTAGAGTCAAAGTTATGGCAATAAACAATATGTTCTCACTAATTTTGTTTCTTTAACGTCAACGTCCAGGCCGCAGACGTAAGTTTTCTTTTTCGTACTTAGCCGTGCTGGTATAAGTGCACATGCTGCATGGATGCCTTCTTCACTGACTTCTGTGACTTCTCCTCTTTGCATGCAAACTACAATTTCTGTTTCGCTAACTAGAAGCATTAATTTCTTAGAGGGTGTGATTTACTGCTTGGCGAATATTTACTTGCATGCTATGGGCTGGAGTGGTCCTGTGATCCCACTAACGTTTTTTACTCACGAAAACTGCAAACACACTTTAGCAAAGCCTTACGCCTTACCTGTCAATTCGCAAATGCCTGCAACAATGGTAATCAATGTATGAATTTACTTCAGGTTAACAAAAAAGATAGGCAAATGTTTGTGGAGGAATTGAAAAAAACTCTGAATCCACGGAATCTAAGCAAATATCTGCTTTCCTTTACAAAAAGAACAGACCTATCTGGCTCGATCGGAACTAAACTCGACAGGTGGTGCATCTCAATAGGTTCCGTAGATTTCTCAAGTTTAAGACTTTTGCTTCCAGCGTTGACACACTTCTTGTCTCTGGATCGAAAGCATCGCATCTGCACACCGTCTACACAACACAAAAAAGTATGAATCGACGTAAAACAACATTGCTGGTTGTTGACAATGTTGCCGACGTACTCCAGGAAGCGGTACACATGAATTTAAATTGAGCTTTATGTAGCAAGGAGATGAGATATTATTGTAGCCTGACAACATGGCTCGCTCGTTCATTCTCCTTTGCAAAGGTTGTGGAGTCTTATCTGGTGTTGCTATCCCCGGAATGGAGCGACAACGGACGCTTAGCAGGTGAACATAACACGAATTCGAAATTAAGCGAGTGTAAAGGCTGGCAGTATTTGTTAAACTGAAAAAAACTCTAACTTTCAATTAATTCAGATTTTGTTATTTCGCGAATAAGGGGTCTAATATTTTCCTACTTTTGATTAGCGATGACGTCCTGTGGCTCTTTTCTGGAAAAGTTAGAATCTCAATAGAAA